CAATAATAATTCTAATTCAAAATCTAATTAAAATATTCTCGATTTATACATTTACATGTGTTCTAAATATTCATGTTAGACGTAATTAAAGTAAAACAATATTCAAATTAAAATTCATATAAGTGTAAACGTTTATCTACTTGCATCCTTGTTTCAGTTAAGAGTTAAGAAACGAACCTTTAGTGGTTATCGAACATTTTGGTCCTTCGAGCCGGATCCCTCTGACAGACGGCGCCCTTGAAAGGGCAGAAATAGGAAAAGATGAGAGTAAGTCACATTGTGAGTAATATTGAGTGAGAGCTCATTTTCTCTTCCTTGAACGCTAAGTCGTGTGATAGCCTTATCAAGTGTGAAAGTTAGAATTTCGGTTCTCAAGAATTTAGTGGATGTCTCACGATTCTCATGGAGAATTGAGATAAGTTATTATTGCTTGTTATGCCAGTACTCTGTTTGTTGTACGGTCAGTTTGTATTGATGGGGTGGTCATCTGTAATGGTTTATATGTTTTTTCTGAGAATTGTTTAGTAAGGACTAACGAGGGTTATGTCGAAATAAATGGAACTTATTAAGTCGCTGAGAGCGAAGAAGTATTTTGGAGATGACGTCAAGAACGGCATCTCGCAAACGGTAGCTTCTTGATTGTGGATTATCTTACATTATTCCCAGAAGAGGAATTTAAGATTTGAAACTGAGCTTAACCTGAATTGGCGTACTCATTTAAGTACCACTACTTATTTTAATTGTTAATCTTTTGGTTAGAGCATGGAAAACTTTAATCTCTTGTTTTTGAAAGCACATGGCTGTTGGAACGATGCTTTACGTTGCTTATTTAATTAAAATGCATTACTGAGAATGTTTCAGCTGATTTGGAAGGTTACATTGCTGCAAGGCAGATTTGTCGAACCTTGACACTTTTAGGAAGATCTGTGGATTCCTGAGATGAAATCCTCTTTTGTTATGGTTGTTTCGCTAAAGGACTCTGCGGTAGTCAACATGTGGAAACAGCTTGGTTATTCATCGAAAGAATTGGTTACATGAAAGATGTTCCTGGAATTCTTTATGACTAAATGATTGAAATTGCACAATTATGAAAAGGCTTTTACAGGTAAGCCCATCTATTCTCGTAGAAAGTCTTTGATGCTTCGTCTTCAAGGAAGATTGAAGGAAATATCGTTTCAAGTAATTTGCTTTGTTTTGTCACTCATGAGTTATCCTCATTCTCGTGGCATAATTCGAAGCTATTATACTAACGACTTGCTTTACAAAGAAAGCTAGCGGTGTGTTGCTATTGTATCGAGCTGCTCAAAGCAGTTAATTATTAAATCAGTAAATTATTGAGTCAACAAGGAACTGGGAGAGTTCCTCTGAATTAGATTCAACCGCTAGTCTGTTAATGGAATCTGCCTTACAAGCTTTCCATTTATTGGTCAAGTTAGAGTCAGTAAATTATTCTTGATTATTGGTAAGTGCCTTTGTTTTCGTTTTGTCTCCCACTAAACATGTTTCGAGAATTAAAGTTTACTCGGTCAAGGATCGGAAGTATGTTTGTTTTTTGTCACTTAGCGACTAGTCCAATGTTTACGTCTGTTTTATATGAAATCTCAGATACCTCTCATAGGAGTGGGTTGGATAAATATGTTGACACTAAGGGAAAGATCTCCTGTTAACTAAAGTTTTACTTTAAATTGTCATTTTAATGTTTCGTGCTAGTTTAGATTCTTGTAAAACGTACAGCTGGTTTACTATTTGTCTTGTTTACAGGAAAGATTATGATCGCACTTAAAGGAGTTACAAGTCGTTTCTCCCAAGCTCTTTTTATTAAGTTAAATTTGATATCAGTATTGTTATATTTTTACAGTCAAACTTTTAAGAGAAAGTATTATTGAGGAACCTGTTGGTTTTCCAGTCATGTAACTTATCAAAATGGACTGTATTGTTTCAAGTTCTGTTTACCCTAAGATAGCTTTAGCTCATGGTTATAGATTACAAGTCTTAGTCTTTTTTGATAATTGCTATAAGGGAATTTATAAATCTTGAAAGCTTGATGAAGCATTTTCGACTGCGATCTTTCTTATTGTGATCAAGTTGGTGAAGACTAAATTATGTCAACTCACACTCGCAATGGGAGGGGTCAAGTTGTTGTACGATTTCTTTTAAGAAAGCGGTCGATCATTTTGAAGATCCATGACCATGCTGTACGTTTGACGCTTAAGGTGTCTAATAGATCGTCTACGGACCTTGACTATGTCAAATTGTATTCAGAATTTCTAACCGAATATTAACGGTTTCATTACATGAACGTAGTTTCGAAACATTCGCTTGAATCTTATGGTGTATCTTCACTGTTACATCACGGAAGTGAAAGAAAACGTTGCCCAACTGCCGGGCTGCTTATTATATTTACAAGATTGAGTCCTACAACTCATTGCTTATTTCCTGCTGTGGCTTAACTACAGTCAGACTTGTTCGGGTTACTGGTGTAACTCCGACTATTTACCTATGGTTTCTGATGCAAAATTAAGAGGATGTAGTGTCACATGGACATTCATTCATTCGATTATAAGTTTCACAGAGTTCATGGCGTGATCAGTCACCCAACTTATGAGTATAGCAATTGGCTACTATTGCTTGTGGCTTAGCTTTTGCCCCGTTTCTAGTATTATGCGCTCTTTAGCTGTTATTACATGATGAGGGTTTTAAGTACCCACTAGCATTTTCTTATTTGCAAAAAGGGAAATAGGCATGCGACCTCTTTAGAGGTTCGAACAGTGTCGAATGGGCTTGGGACATTATCAATTGGTCAAACCTGCTCTTCATGGCGGGCGGTTTTGAGTTATTGTTGAGTAGACATATAATCGTCCGCTAGCCATTCCGACCTACTTGTCTTAAATTCCTAAGGAGGAACAGATATCCTCATTGTCGCTTGACTATGATCATCTTGTTGTTGGTACTCTCGGACTTCATTGGAAACCGATAAGTGGTATCTTTCAATTCACGATTGGCTGTCATCCTAACAGTCAAGTTCCAGACAGAAAAGCTCTATTGATTAGTGATGAGTTCTTGATCGTCTAGGATTTTCTATCCTATCTTTAGACTAGCCAAAATCTTTGTACAAGAGCTATGGTCGATCGAGGTCGGTGGAATAATCTCTTACCATCTCATCTGGCCACTCAACGATATAACCTTGTAGAGACTCCACAACGGATATCTAGAGTTACTTTCCCTTTGGGATGGGTCCTGTTAAGTGAGCGTGCGCGCAAAAATCAAGTAGACTTTTCTGTCCATCTGTCGTTAATGTGAATAACTTCAGAAAAGAAAGAAAGTCATTTACTGGATTATATCCTTGGTCTATTAAGTTCACCTAATACAAAGGTGTATTGTACAAATCATAATTGCAACTAGGAGGCGTTATATCTTGGTTTTAATTGTATATGCCGTGGGATAGAAACCTTTGTAGGGTTGTAAAGCCTGTCGGCGATTGCACTATCTGTTGCAAGGCTGTGTAGCCTATCGTCAAATGCAATTCTGTGGAGCCAGTAGCTCACCTGAGGCTGAGAGCTTAAGTATATTGTTGAGGCAGAAAGCCTATAGATATTGTTGAGGCTGAACGCCTAAGAACTTTAAGAGGTTGTAGCCTATCTGTGGTGGCACTTAAGCACCTGTGTTGCTTTGTAGCCATCTGTAGTGGCAGTTGACCTCTGTAAGACTCTGTAACCTACCGTCTTGTAGTTGTGTGGGGCTAGAAGCCTCTTGAGGCTGAGAGCCTAAGAACCTGTTTGATGCTGAAAGCCTATGGATATTGTCTAGGCTGAAAGCTTAAGAATTTTAAGAGGCTGAAGCCTATCCGTCGTAGCACTTGTGCACTTATGTTGTCTTGCAACCTCAAAGTGGTTGGAATTTGGCTCTTTGGAGACCATTATCTAGCTTATGTTTCTGCTTAGCAGTCCGACTAGGATTTTGAGTCGGTTCCGTCTTAAAGGGAATGCGATCTATGCGTAAACCTTTGGCGTACGTGAATTAGAATCTATAGTTATGAGTTTGTGCTTCTTATATCTGGATCATTATGAGATTAGATATTTCTGACTAATGTTGTATCCGGAATTAAACTCATTGCATTTACTTAAAAGAAAGTAAGGATAACAAAATTTAATTCTCTTATTAGATCTTTTGATTGTATCTAAGCTAGATTAACCTAGCGTGGACGCACGCTCAGTCAAGCATTGACCACCCTTATTATAGCTGATGCCCATCATTCCATAGAGGTATTCAAGTTACTCAATCGATTATCCGTATTAAGTACTGGATAATTGGTGGGCGAATCCCTGTTCGATCTTGGATCGTAAAATGTATTAGATGCACTCGCTTTCGTCAGCAGCGAGCTCAACAACTAATGGGACAACTTCCCTCAGAACGCATTACTCCCTCCCGTCCTTTTACGCACACCGGCATTGATTATGCTGGTCCTTTTTTGATAAAGACGTGGAAAGGTAAAAATGCACGCACCTATAAGTCCTACGTAGCATTGTTCGTTTGCTTTGCTACCTCTGCAGTTCACTTGGAACTCGTTACTGATTACTCTTCTGACGCCTTTATCGCGGCATACAAGAGATTTGTATCAAGACGCGGAATCTGCACCACGTTAACTAGTGACTGTGGCACGACTCTCAAAGGCGCAGACTCAGAATTAAGAAAGCTTTTCTCGCAAGCTTGTCAGGAATCATCCACCATAGCTATTCTGTTAGCCAATAACGGTACACAGTGGCACTTTAATCCCCCTTCCGCACCTCATTTTGGAGGCAAGTGGGAGGCGGGAGTTAAGTCCATGAAACATCATCTCGTACGTGTAGTCGGCAATGCCACTTTCACTTATGAAGAGATGACCACTCTCTTATCTCAAATTGAGGCTGTTATGAATTCCCGGCCTTTGTGCCCTTTGACTGAAGATCCTGATGATCTTAATGTTTTGACACCAGGACACTTCCTTATGGGATGTGCTCCACTTACCGTTCCAGAGCCTTCTCTTGAATTTACGAATACTGCTAGGTTGTCACGATGGCAGCTTATTCAAAAGACGTTTGAGTCCTTTTGGACTAGATGGTCACAGGAATGCCTCCAAAGGTATAACGCATGTTACAAATGGAATCGAGTCTCTCCTTCTCTTCAAGTTGGAACTCTCGTTCTTGTCATTGATGAGCGTTACCCACCAGCTAAGTGGCCCTTGGGGCGGATCATTGCTACTCATCCCGGGCAAGATGGCCACACCAGAGTAGTCACGATCAAAACTCAAACCTCAATCTTAAAGCGGCCAGTTGTCAAGCTCTGCCCGTTACCTATTAACCACGAATCCCTAGCTGATTGTTCATTACCTTAGTTAATGAAGGCGGGCGGAATGTTTGAACTTGAGGTCATTCTCACGGCGGTCTGTTCGTCGTCACTGTCGGTAACTCTACGACCGCTATGGGTAATTGTGGAGGTGATGCGCGGGAAGACCGAGCAGGGCGCTGAGCGCTCTTTTTCGTCGGTTCCAGTGCTTCTTCTTCTTCGCTTATGCGGTCGTTGTTCTTTTTGACTCGCCATGTTGAAAAACCGCCGGCCGGCATAGTTCGCAGTTTCGTTCTGTTCTCGTAAGTTTTCTTGGATGAACGCTATTTGAGCGTTCCATCAAATGATTAAAATCATGTGGAGCTCGGAGCTTACGTGTGGCTTGTAGCTCGTGTAAAATTAAAAGTGAGGCTGATAGCCTAGTCAAGCGTACGTGAAATTCCACGACGGTGGAACTTTCTCGACCACAAGGAAGTGTGATCGTTGCACACACGGATAGGCAGCCATTGTTTCCACATTCGGTGGAAAGCCGCTCTGCTATCTCCAGGTACCTGAGAGAACGAGATAGAGAGAGAGAGAGAGAGAAAACGACTCTCGTATTTAGTTTGAAGGATCCGCCCTTCAAAATCCTTTAAGGTTGGCGGCTGAAAGCCGAGATTACGTTGCACATCAATTTTT